ATACGGCAGACAGCTCAGGATGAAAGTCCTACAATGACTGAGCTTTGCTGGGAGCTGACGTGTGTTGTACTAGAGTTGTTCATCGTAGGGTGCGTCTACACATTCATTAACCTGCCGTAGTTACTGCGTGTTTAGTTTAGTACTTCCTTAATGACGTTCTAACTGAATGTGCAGTAACTACGTTTACTGCGCTGGCGCATGGTTTTTTTGGTGATGTTAACTGCGCGGTAGCCTAATAACATGGCACAGTAGTGTATTAGCATGGTTTTTGACCGGCACGCTATTATGCCGTGTCATTAGGCTACTGCACAGTAAGCGTCTTGTGCAGACATGCCCCTAGGAGTCTTTTCTGTGCCGTGTATGGCTCTGGACGTCCACGGGCAACACGCAAGTTCTGGGTGACGTGACATAGGAGGACATTTGTTACATTCATTTAATGATTTCTATACTGTTTGCACTGTGACAGAATGCCAAGAGTGTGCACAGGGAGCTTTCATGCCTTTTCTTTTAAGCTTAGACGAACGATATCCTGCAACCAGGACGTCCCTACACGTAGTCTCCCGCAGCGTCAAGGTCTGTTACCACTCACCCAGACTAACTCAGTCTCCTGTTCCCACAGTTTGACATGCAGAGGATAACACTGGAGGAGCTCAAACACATCCTGTATCATGCATTTCGGGATCATTTAACAATGAAGGACATTGAAAACATCATCATCAATGAAGAGGAGAGTCTAAACGAAAACTCTGGCAACTGCCAAACAGAGTTTGAAGGTAGTGAGAGCTTTTAATACTTCTTGTATATAGTTCTCTTTCCCTCCCTTATGAAGCTGCGGCTGAATCCTGGACCCTGTTGCAAGGTTTCAGTCGGGCCATACCCCAGTGACATCAAAAGGGATTTCCCCCTGTCTAGGATAGAGTAAAAGTAAGTGAAAATTCATGTGGGCATAGAATTCAGGATCTCCCAATTTATAGCTGAGCCTTTAATCTACTAGTCCATAGGACTTTAGGGCTACTGCCAGAACCCGCTGTTCCACTACTTTCTCTGCAAATCTGCAAGCGTGAGCTTTTGTGTGCTCAGTTTTTCCATGCCCAAGCAAATTTGGGGATTTTCATCCTTGGCTGGGAACAGGTTCTGTGCCTGGAAGGGTCATGAAAAATCAATTCCTGGACACTAAGCATGCACCCCCTGTGTTGGTCAGAGATGCGACGAGAATCAAAGGTGTTCACTATCTTGAACCAGCTTGAATACCACCCATGAAAAGCAGAACAGACTAACAATAGCTACTTTGAGATTCTCTCCTGAAAGTCTCTTTGATATCAAATTAATAATATTTTCCACTTCTAAGGAAAACAAGATTGCTCTTAGGAAGCTCAGTAGGAGGTCAAAAGACGGAAGGCGGTTTTCTCAAGTGTAGCTAGTTCTCCGTGACAGTTTCCACTGTGATTTCGCAATTTGTGATATCAAACTACAACAAAAAGGCCCGGAAACTCCCCAGGGAGACGGGAATTGCCTTAGCTAGCACATACCCTTGCAAAAGGGTGGTTTTTAATCCGCGTACCAATCACGGATTATTACAATCAATTTGAACTGAGCATTGCCCCACTGGATCTCCCTGACACAGATTGATGGCACCTTACACTCTAAACCTGAGGTTGTGCTTTTTTCCCTAAAAACCAGGGAACGGCTCAACTTAAATGTCGTTTAATGTAACCTGCTTACCACAGAATAAAGTCTGCCTCCACAGTCACCACCAGAGAACTGGTTTAGAGGAAGAGCTTTGGGGCGTTTGTATGCTATGTAATTTTCTCCCATTGCATCAGCAGGAGCATTAAGTTGGTCGAGGCTCAGGATCCAGATAAAACAAAGGGATTGCTGAAATTGTAAACAGCTGGAGGTTTGAAGAAGATTCACTTTTTTGGCGTTTGTTCAGATTTTCCTGTTTTGTATCATTGTTTGTTGATAAACAGGCAGGCAAAGTATCCAGCATGTCAAATCTCCATTGAATAATACAATGCTGAGATGGAAGAATGCAGCGGTTAAAGTAAATACCCTAAATTTAAATACAGTCAGGCAGGGACGTTCTTCAAACAAAACAAAGTAACTTTTTTGTTTTGTTGTAAAGTTGCATAAATTGGAGAAGGGGAAATTAGCCATGCTACAGTTAGATGGGTGAACTGCAAGAGGTTCAGCCTTCACTCCAACATCAGCTAGGATTTTCTACAATTGGGCTGAAAACATCACGCATCTCGAGTTTTGGTATTCCCTGCTCCTGAACTTGGGGCACCGGCCCTGAAGATGTTGCCCAGGATTCAGAAGCAAACAGGCTCATGACACACGCTGAA